ATCCTTCAAATATGGGGTATGAAAGAGTGAATAAAAGCTATTTTCCAAATTAAAAATGCTACTATAAGTTGAGGCTCTTGCTTCACACCAAGCAACAAGACCTCCATCATAACCAAGCTTATCTCGCATTGTGTTGCAATACAATTACAATTCAATACAAAACGAAATAAGCAGATATAACAAAAAAGTTTATGGTTGGTCAACCATGCTTATATAGGAACCCAATATAAACCAAATCAGTTTGTACAGAGCCGATCCTCAAGGATCAGGGGCCCTAATCTATTTCTTTATCAAAAATACATTAATTTTTTCAAAATAAAATTATAAATATTCTTTTTAATTATAGTGATAGTTTAGTTAAAAAGGTAATTTATAAAGAAATTTATATTGATAAAAAGAAGAAACCTAAAGAACAAGGGTTTAGTTTAAAAAAAATATTCATGAAACTGAATTTACAAAGAAATTTATTTATATAACTTAGTTATTTTCTTATACTAGGGTAATTTAATTTACAAAAAAAAAAATGTTAGTTTACAAAAATATTAACTGAATTCCATAATTTTTTTATAGTAAATTTTTTTTTCTCCAAGTGGGGGCCCTTAGAGGTAGGGGCCCATTCAAATGTTTCACCTCCATGCCCACAGGCTCGGCTCTGAGTTTGTAAGAAGAAAAGCCAAACCAGTACAATAGAATAAAAACTTCATCTCATCCTATACACTAATCTGACCAAAACACCATGTTTCTATCAAAGGTTTTTGTCATCTCATCTTATATATTAAAACAAAAGTCATAAGAAATTAATCCTCATAAGAAATCAATCCTAATAATATTTTAAAAAATTAATCCTCATAAGAAATCAGTTATTATTCATTTATTCCTAATAATATGACTTAATAATATTGTATTCCTAATATAACAATGACTCCTATAAAACCAGATTGGTAAACAAACACATATTTGTTATTGTAAACCATCGTATAGTTCAAAATACTGAACCATTTGAAATAATTCAACCAATGTATATATAATAGTTGTATAAACATCTTATCTATTAAAATAGAAATCATAACTTATTTCATGTGTGATTTTTAATTTGGACCATCTTTTGAACTACTTTAATCTTAATATCTCATAATATCTTTTCATTTTAAATATAAATATATATTTAAAAAAAAAAATCTAACAAATCTGTTCAAAAGATTTTAACAAGATCTTGATATTCAAAAATTCTGAGTAAATATTTTAATAATTCGTAATTTTTTTAATATATTATTATACATTAAATATATTTTATAAAATGTAGAATAAAGTTTTAACTAAATATGATAAATTATATTAAATTATATATTTTATTTTCAGAAGTATTTATGTTCAAAATATAATATATTGGTAACAGAGGTTAACATTTGCAAACTATATAAAACATGTATAAAAATTAACATGTATTCCATTAAAGCTAATTATCTATATTATAAATTATAATAGTAGAATTTCTAGGCTTCACAACGCGTCACATCAGCATTTTGCGGGTCCCACATGTTTAATTTTTAAAAGTCCATAGTCTTTTAAAATGATCTCATACATTGAATCACACTTTAGATGAATGGTATAAATCACTTAATTAAGTTCGTAAGTGCGTGACTTCAAACCACGCAGCTAGCATGTATTTTTTGTTTTTTTCGTTTGGGTTATTATCATCTGGGCTTTTTGTTTTTAATGTTTTTATATTTTTGTTTCTTTTGGACTTATTTTTTTAAAGCCAAAAATAGTGGGCCAAACTCTATGATTTAACGGGCTCAAATTTTAAAATCATTAAAAATAGATAAAAAAAAGAACAAACCATCCAAAAAATAAAAATAAAAAGTGGTATTATCATGTATATTTTCTATTAGGACATATTTCCTAATATATATTTTCAAAAAATTATGTATATGAAATAAAATTAAAAAAAACAAAAAAAAAATTAAGTATTTTCATTATTTATTAAATGGATATGTAACTTCTCTTACATTTTTAATATCTATTATAGTTTCAATGAAAGAATTTCTCACAATCGACTCTAATGGATTATCAGACTCTGGCGAATGGATTACTACAGTCGATGACATCGTAAATAAAAATGCCACATTATTCATGAACAAAACCCAAACTTACAAAAAAATCATATACAAAAACCTATCTAATGAAACCAAACAACAAATATTAACTTGAATTAATATTTTCAAATTGATAAATTTTTAGTACAAATATAAATACTATAAATAAAGAATTATATCAAGTTTTGACCTTCGGTATAAAAGTACTTCCCACCACCGACTCTAATGGTTTATCAGACTCCGACAAATGGATTCCTACAGTCGACAATACCGTAAATAAAAATGCAACATCATTCGTGAACAAAGCCTGAACTTACAAAAAACATATACAAAAACCTATCTAATGAAACCAAACAACAAATCTTAACTTAAATTGAGGTTATTTTTAAATTGATAAATTATTTAGTAAAATAACGAATTATATCAAGTTTTGACGTCCGGTATAAAAACATTCCCCACCACCGACTCGAATGGTTTATCATACTCCGGTGAATGGATTACTGCAGTCGACAACGCCGTAAATAAAAATACCACATCATTCGTGAACAAAGTTCGAACTTACAAGAAAACATATACCAAAACCTATCTAATGAAACCAAACAAAAAATATTAACTTAAATTAAGGTTATTTTCAAATTGATAAATTGTTTAGTACAAATATGAATACCATAAATAAAAATTTATATCAAATTTTGACTTCCGGTATAAAAGCATTCCCCACCACCGACTCTAATGATGGACTCCGGTATCAGACTCCGGCGAATGGATTTCTACAGCCGACAACACCGTAAATAAAAATGCAACATCATTCATGAACAAAGCCCGAACTTAAAAAAAAAAACATATACAAAAACCTATCTAATGAAACCCAAACAAAAAATATTAACTTAAATTAAGGTTATTTTCAAATTGTTAAATCGTTTAGTACAAATATAAATACTATAAATAAAGAACTATATCAAGTTCTGACCTTCGGACTCCGGTATAAAAAATATTTACAACAAAAAAAACAAGATAAACACCTATTTTTCACAATAAAAACTATATTATAGCTTAACTATTCCTATAAACCTTACTTCACATATAAAATATTATTTAACACATTATATATACAATATTCAGTTTACACTCTTGCTACATTCTTCCATTTTATCATTATTTGGTGTTCTTAAAAGAATTTACTAAACCAATAATCGAAAAAACATACGCAAACATCAATGATCCCAGCTCCGCACTTGCACAGGAGAAATACAACTAGTATAAAATATTTGTAACTATTATAATCATGATATTTTTTTCATTTTAATATAAATAAATAAAGATATATATATATATATATAATTCTAAAAATATGTTGCAAAATAATTTAACAATATCTTAATTTTAAGGAAGTATATGTAATTATTTAACTAATTTTGTAACTAGCAATGAACTATTATTATGCATTAATGTATATTCAATTATCATTTATAAAATGAAACATAAAAATTATATATTATTTTTATCTATTTGATAATATAATAAGTCATGTTAAAATAAAATTATTATATTGAATTAGATATGATAAATTATATTAAATTGATACATTTATAATTTGACTTTCAGAAATGTAAAATATTTATGCTATAAATATGATACGGTGACATAACGACTTAACATTCGTAAACTATATGATACATGTACAAAAATTGACATATCTTAGACTTTTGTATATACAAATAATATATTTTTTAAATGAATAAATGCGAAAAATATTGCTAAAGGAAATACGACTTTGAAGGTTGGCGGGTCAGAATTAAATATAAATATGATACAAAATAATTTTCCAATATGTTGTTTTATGTTTATATTAATTTTTTAATAGCTAAAGCAAAATACATTAACATAAATATATAATAAAAACAACAAATAAATGTGATGGTTTTAAACTATTGATTGATTACACCATGTAAACTATAAAATTATTATATTTGAAATATATATATCAATTTTTGAATATATGGCTAACGTTAAAATTGTATGTCACTAATGAACTGAAATAAATATATATGTTTACGAAACTGAAAAAGAACACCCGTTGGTTGCGCAGGTGAAGATATAGTAATATATTAAACGGTCTATATAGATATCACGCAAGCAAGCGAAAAATGGAGATCAAGTCAGCTTTGCGAAAGAGATTTGGTCGCTGAACTTGGAGATCTCGCAGAGGGCCACCTGCGTGGCTTGTGACTTCACTAACGTACAATTAGTGTCTAGTTTTCAGTATTTGAATTATGAATTTCTGCGAGGAAGGCAACAAATTTTCCAAATATGCAATGAGCTGTGTCATGGAAACATCACTGCCACAGCAAAAACAATGATTTGACAAAAAGAATCAAAGACAAAAGATACTGAATGTACCAAGAAATGAAGATTCCTTTGATGGAGTTAACCATTTCAATCACCCAATTCTAGAAGACAATAAAATTTCGGAAAAAAAAAAAAAATCCAGCCATGGTATTCGATCATAAAATTAAAATTACATTCATACAACCTTAGCTCAAAACAGTGCTTTAATAATTATTTCAATTCACACAGGTTATAGTTGCTCCAAGAAACCTGATGAGTTTTCTCAAAATCTTTTGAATCCATCCATGGTGTTCCACAATCATGTCCAAATTATTTACACTAAGTTCAGAAATTCCAGAAGCAACAATAAAACCAAGCTAACATAAAAAGAAGAATGAGAAGGGGAAACATGTGAACGTGGAAGCTTTACAGAGTTAAGAAGCAGCAGAAAACCCCAAATGGAAAACATTATTTGATTTTCACATTAAGAGAAGAAAATAATCAAACCCTTGGGTTTTCTAGGAATCAAAAACCTCGAGAGAATAAAAGACCACGATGATGGAACCAGAGAGAGAAGTCGTTTACATGAAATCGTGTTTGGTACTTATAAATTAATTTAAACCCTACAAACGTAATTTTGCAACTTAACAGTATAAACCATCTGAACAAGTTAGAAGGTTCCAATTTGGATGAATAAAACGCCAAAAATGGTTCTGGAGTTAACACATAGGCTGCATCACCAGGCCACAAGATCAGAAGAATTTCACTACAAACTAAAATCTGGTTACACAAATCTATAAATACCACAAACCCCCTAACAACATATGATGTTGCCGTCACTCCTCGTAATCATCCAGTGTTGAATAGATTAACCTTAAAAAAGATGTAACAACAACATAAGTTTTAACTGCTTCTAAACTGATTTTCAGGAAGACAGGGAAAAGATTATTTTTACCAGAAAAGGGTCAGAAAGAGAGTGAGGATCAGGTAGGCGAGCTTGAAGAGCCGTTTCTTCTTTTCCCAGTCAAGCAAGCTGAAGATCTCTGTCACGTCTATCAAATGCTGTTTTTTCAAGTAACTAACATACAAAAGAAATATAGAACTATCAGCTTCTCATTCCATGATTAAACCTGCTTCAACAAGTCTGAGAATTGCTATAAGAAATAGAGAGAGGGAGAAAGACTCACAGTTGGAAATTGTAGTAGAGATAAGGGAGACCATGTAGTGCCATGAACCAGTGACCAGTTACGAGAAAGAATAGACATAGAGATCCTTGAAGAATGGACTCTGGTAATACCACAGAGTTTATTCTTGATGCAGAGTCGTAAGGGTTTATGTAATCAAATTCCAGATCAGCTAAGCACATAAGCTGCAAGTAAGTCAAAAAAGTAAAGGGTTCATGAAAAACATCCATAAGCACGGTCACTTTCTTTACTACAGTTTATGTCTATAACTTCATGTACAAAGTTTGATGTTTCGTAGACCATTATGGTAATCTAAAAACAAAAACTATAACACCAGTAAGGACATCTACAGATTGGAAACCATATCATCAACCAAACCAAAGAACTTGAAGGATCAAAAAGACAGTAGAATTCATGTTGCAAGAAGAAGAAACCGTTTAGTTTCAGTGTTCAAAACTTTTTCTTCTTCTGTGATCGAATAAGCCTAGGCAGAGTTTATCATAACAAAATATACGCAAGAAGATTCGATGGAACTCATGTGCTTTAATATATATTTGGGAATGGGATGTAACCTGGTAAACAATTAATCCGACAAGGGTGATGAGGATTAAGAATGATATTATCCATGTCCACACTTCTCCCATCCCTCCGATCGATTCCTATGTCTTCTTCTTCTTCTTGTATTTAAAACTTCTGGATCTCTTCGATAATATGACAACAGAGTTACAGGTATAAGTTTCTTGTCGGAAAGTAATTAAACTCCTGTCTCTGTGATTCTCTAACTAGAGTTAGGTGTGGAAGAAGGAGCGAATCAATTCCTGTTTTGACACCTTTTTATGGACCGAATCAATTCCCGGTTTTATTACTAATAGTTTAATGATCGTACCGGTATACCGGTTCAATCGGTACGAAGTTGAATCCCTTAGTATGTTTGACTTTGACTGTGACTCAACAGCACAGGCCAGATCCACCGTTGATCCAAGCAGGCTATTCGATGCACAACTTATAACTTCAAGTTTTTGATTAACAAGTCTTATAGCTTCAAATCTTGATAAGCGCATGCTTAGGATTAAAGTAAAGATTGAACAAATCAATTTTACTAGTCCATACAAATTTAGATTGTTGTTACAGTTTCTTGTAACACTTAAAAACCAACGGTTTGGATTTCGAAAAGGCTTCAGTGAACAATCAAATGTCATATAGGTCACTGTATTTCGGGAAAACGGCCATTTCATACCCAACCTATTGCGATATGTTCAATTCATACCCGACTTATATGGTCATGCCAAAACATACATGAACTTACATGATCCTGTCAAAACATATCCGATTTATAATTTTTAGACAAAATCATACATTAGTCGCCACATCAGCTGCTACATCATCTATATTTATCCACATGGATGCTACGTCAACTAATTTTGATGTCAAAGATGTTATGTGTACAATTTTTTTGTTTTGAAATAAATAGTCATTTAAGAAAAATATTTTACTTAGAAAATGTAAAAAGTTTATAAACTTTTATTATTAGTAATATTAACAAAAGTTAATTAATTAATTAAATTTTAATCTTATATAAGAGATATATTGGTAAATGTTTTGATCATATCACAAACCGTCCTTATGAAAGTTATATGTGTTGTAATGATTTAATTCAGTATTACTGTTGCAGTTTTGTTACGCTTTATTAATCATGAAAATGTTATTTACATAGATTAACACAACCATGATTAATCAAGAGTAACACATTTGCAACATTAGCATTGAATTTAATAATTACAACACATACATAACTAAATAATAAAATTTAACATTTTTAAAAAAATTATTTTTGTTAAATGATTATTTAGTTTTTTATTAAAAAAAATTGTTCATAGAGCATCCTCGTCAGCAAAATTAGCTGATATAGTATCTACGCGAACGAAAAATAGATGATGTGGCAGCTGATGAGGCTATTGGTGTATGATTTTGCTAAAAAAATATAAGTCAGATATGTTTTGGCACAATTATATAAATTAAGGTGTGTTTTGGCACGACCATATAAGTCGGATATGGATTGAACATATCGCGATAGATTGGATATGAAATGGCCATTTTCCCCTTTCCCCTGTATTTCTGGTATCAGGATATTAAATATTACTACATCTCTACGTAAAAATAAAAGTAGATAACAAGAACAAAGATGGAGAAAACTAGCATAATTAACGAATGCGTTAGGAAGTACTCTAATGTTATCTTTGTTCTATATAGTAATGCATGTCATTACATTGATTTGATAAAAAAAGCAGACGTATACACATGAGATTATTATTGTTAGACCCCATCAGAAATACAAAATCATTTGTGTACTCTTTAACGAATGACGACTAAATAATTTCAAAATATACGAGTATCAATTTCAAAGAAGAGTGTCAGAGTTGTCTCAACCACAAACAAAACCGGTTATTCTGGTTGAACTCATAAACCGGACTAAAAACCAAACTAACGCAAGTAGGCTTTTTCAGTCTTGAGTAGGTGCGTTCTGATTGAGCTCAGCAAACCGCATACCAACACGCATCATCGTATGCTTGCGGAACTTATAAACACACCGCATAACATAAGTCTCCTCTTGTTTCTGCAGAGTTTTGCGCATAAATGTATCCACACAGTCCACGAAACACCTCTCCACCAGCGAATTGTACATCCACAAGCTAAAAATTTTAGCAACAAAGTTACGGTCTAAAAACTTGGATCAAGAAGTCAACAAAGACAAAAAAAAAATCTTTAGAACAAACAAGAAACCAAATCAAGACATATCATAGATTGTGTGTTGTTCCATTAACGTCCAGAAACAGCATTTAATTGGCTGCTCTGGTTTTAAGGAGATCTTTTTCTTCTCAGCTTCAAATGTTTTTAGACAACAAGCCACGGTATCAAGCTGGTCCGCGAAACAAAAGAATTATATGAAGCTTTCTAAAGTTTTCTCTAAGAGCAGACAACAGAGATCTATAATTAGCTCGCACAGAAGAAATGTAGAAGACGGAACCTATCACGTAGCGAAGCTGGTTGATCATGGAGGCCATTTCGCTTTGTCTTCCTCAGCAAGACCATCCAGTCCAGCCATCATGGTCGCGTCCATTTTTCCCTTTTCTCTTTCTTCGTTCAAAGTAGCAGCTCTTCGCCGCCTCCTTTATTCTTCTTCGTAAACCCTAGTGATCTTTCTTTTAATGGGCCTCAGGGCTTCGTTTCTTACATCTTGATTAAAATTGGAAGCTTTGATCTTTCATGGGCCTCCTAATAAAACAAACCACTAGACTAGAGTAATGAGTGGATTCAACGTCTCTTGATACATCCGTACTTGTGTGTAGGGGTGGACGTCCGGGTACCCGTTCGGGTTCGGGTTGGGTATTTCGGGTTTTCGGGTATTTCGGTATTAGGGTTTAGAACCCGTTCGGGTATTTTTACATATCGGGTCGGGTTCGGATATTTTTAGTTCGGGTTCGGTTATTTCGGGTCGGGTTCGGATATTTAGATTTTGGAAGAAAAAATTCAAATTCTTTATTACTTAAGTTTTATGTATTTAAAATTTAACTACTAACTTAACTGTTTTTAAAATGTTCAATAAGTTAGACAATTAATAAGTTTGAAAATAAATTATCGAAAATAAAAATCATTATTTTGGTTGTTATTTTCGAATTTTGGATGCAAATTTTGTTTAAAGTATGAAATAAGAAGCTTAATATGTATTTTAAATAAGTAACAAATCACTTTTTTTATTATATGATATTAAACTATTTATAACATTAATATAAATAGTTTTAATAAAATGAGACAAAATAAACTAGGAATAAATAGGTATATATACATATGTTCGGTTATCTTCGGATACCCGTTCGGGTTCGGGTATTACCCGTTCGGGTTCGGATATCCAAACTCTCCTAACTCAATACCTGTTCGGGTATTTTGCTACTTCGGTTCGGATTTCGTTTCGGATATTTCGGGTCGGATTCGGGTACGAGTTCGGGTATCGGATAAAGTGCCCACCCCTACTTGTGTGTATAAAACCTATTTTAAAGTTATATTAGAGAATTATCTAGTCATGGACATTCAGGCTCGCAATCGGATATCAAAATCAGCCTTCACTCGATAATATGAAAATTCAGTTCGAGATCAGTTCAGATCGGATTAGTAAATCTTCAAAGAACCGGTATAATTTATTGTATTTTAAGATTCATATCTCAATCGGTTCTTGGTTTAAAAGTACCTGATTTGTATTTATCTTGTAACCAAAATATAAGTCGATTTTCGAATTAAAAATACCTGATTTATATATATTTTATAACCAAAACATAAGTTAAAAAGATTCAAAAATAAGAAAGTGACATCAAACGTGATCATTCAAAATCAGTTTGATGATCATTCAAAATCAGACGAAAAGTAAACTTAGTTATTGATAGAAAGAAAACTAAAACCAAGTTCTCATGAAATGAGAAACATTATTCAATGAAAACAAAATCAAATCTAAAAACTTCAAGCTTCAACCGCCACCTTTAATTATCAACTTTCATATAACAAATAATTATTTTAGATGTTTGTATTTTAGATATATTAGAAAGAATCAGAGGCTAGGTGATCAGACAAGTCTCAGCCTTAAGAAAATCAGTAGACAAAGATCCAAAACGTAAACCCATAGTCTATCAGTTTCCTAGATTAATACATCGAGAAATCCCTTAATGAGAACCCCTTAACCCAACTAACAGACTACTCGCTCATATTCAAACAATAACAAAACGAAGTCAGAGAAGAAAACATCATGAAATCGTATTGAAAATGAGAAATGGTTGAGAAGATCTTCTCCAAATGAGTACAAGAAAAATCCTCTTCCAAAAGTCTACAAAATGATCCAAATGAGTTTCAAATCTCTCAAGTATAACCCTAGAACTCTCTCTAACCGTCAGGAACAAGAATCGATGAAAAAGTACAGAATAATCTCGATTTTAGGTTTTAAGGTCTTCAAAACGCGTCTCTTCGCAAATATGGAAAGTTGCAGCGTTGTGTCGTAGATCGACCGATCCATATAATGCAGAACGGTCGATCTGTGACGGATCGGTCGATCCATACACCACGGATCGACCGCTATGTGTCGTAAATCCGTTATGATTCGTCCAGTGGTCCATTTTGCCTCAAAATCCTCTCCAGATGAGTTCTTTCTCCACAAGCTAACCTGTAACCTGTAATTTATATTGAAGAACAATAAAAAGTGTCTAGAAGACCAAAATACCTTCAAAAATCGATCACTCTTTGTTTTAAAGTGAGTTTTAAAGTGTTAAAAACACAATATATCAGTTGTTAATTTGTTACCACATATCACACCTTAAGTATTTTGTGACAAAAGTTAGTGCCTTTACACTTTCTAGTACACTTTCTAACATTTTGGATCTATCACCATTATCACCATTCACAGGCTTGTGATCTTATTAGAAAACCCACAAAAAAATTAAGTGTATAGACAACTTAGCTATACTGAGAAGATGGAAAAACGGGATGGATAAACATACCATGATACGAGCCGCCAGCGAGTCAGACTTGATGTCGGGATCAGAGAAAACACACCGATATGGATTAAGCAGCCCCACGGATTAAACAACACCTCCCATAAAAATCATCAAAACGATTAGAAATACGAACCGCTGGTTTTTGCAGATGCGAAGAGACATAGATAAGAAATTTTGGTTGCATGTAAATTTCGATGAAGGTGTTTAAATAGAAGAAGAAACGAAGGGAGGTTGAAGGAGACATGAAGAAATGAGTAAACACCATTGAATAATCAAGAGTTGTAGTACGATAAGGAAATCGAAGAGTCGATTGATTCTCATCAGCGATCTTAGCTTTAAGAGCGGGCTTAATATGGACGAAGTGGCAAAAAAATAAAATCTTGATTGGTTGTTTTTTCCATCCTACGTGAATAACTTAAGAGTTGAGTATTTAGAACTTTTAGTATTGTAAGATGTAATTCTTTTAATTTATAGTATATAAAACAGTTAGTAAATAGATTAAGGTTATATATCATTTATTCTAATAACTTAATTATGAATATGAAATATTTATATAGATATTATAGAAATGTCGTTTTTTATTCTATAAATCAAAATCATAATATTCATTTGTAATAAAATTTAATAATAATTACGAATTTTCATTATTTACCATAAAAAATTAAAGTATAACTATATATTTAAAAAAAAATATATATATTGAAAGATATTGTTAAAATCCAATTTTTGAAAAGATACTTAATAATATCTTTTGATATCATCTCTTGAAAATATTTAAATAATATGTGAAAATTATGTGTATATTTAATAATAACTAAGTTTGTTGTATGTAAGAAAAAATAAAATAAATTGTCCAATGTAGACTATATATTTATTTATAAGTAGATGAAACTTGATTCTGTTTTAATGCCAAGATATTTTGGTTTAATCAATGAAGTCCAGAGCTTTATAACTTAGATGAGTAAGGTCATTTCATAAACTTTAATGTAACACAAACAATCAAATCTTCCGATAACAATTGCTTTATGTACAAATCACTCTCATACAAATATCAAAAGATATCATTTCACACTTCTCTAAAGTTTTTTTTTATATATATTTTTACTTTTTTTTATCAAAATATTTTTTACTTTCTAATAACATGTTCTTCTCCTGATCTTTGATCAATATGTTTGATCCATTTTCTCTTGTTGTTGTTGTTATCACTCTTCCCAGAGCTTCTTGCTGCAGCCACATGAGCTATTTCTAGACCACCTGAAACCGGAAGAGTCACCGTTCTCACAACTTCCCGGTCACTAAACGTTTTTGTCCAACTGAAACATGACGTGCTTCTCCGGTAACCGCTTCTGCAAACCACAACAGCTCCTCTGCTACCAAACGCAGCGTTTCTCAAAACATTTGCTGCAAAGTCCTTTTGATCCCAATCAATCACCAAGAAATCGATTCCTTGTAGCTTCTGCATCGTCTTCTCTGAGGTTTCTTCTTCCTCGTTCATAATGACAGTCTCCGGCAAGGTGGAGCAAGACTGTTTTGTCATGGCTTGAAGATAAGCGGCTTCTGATCTCGCGTTTGGTACAATACAAATGTGTCTTGCGTTTGTGTGTTGACTTGCTACGTTTAAGCCACCGCTTATGGCTATGTTTTCTCCTTCTGACCATGTTTCCACGATCAGAGTCGCGTTCCATCCTGCCGCCATAGCCGCTACTAGCTCCGCTGCTCCTACCTCCGCCGCTCCTGGAGTTTCGAGTTTTTCGCACTGCATAAAAAATTACCGGCATATTAGCAACTTTATAAATTATAAACAAATCACCAAGACGTGCATAAAACTTCTTTATCTTGAAAACTCTAACGCAATGTTTCTAAAATCAAACTCGATAATTATTTGAATTATGGTTCAATATTTGGACGGGTAAAATTTAGTTTATAAATTTTATATTTATTAATGTATAGAGTAAATATTATACATAATCAACATATCAATATACATGTAACATAAGAGTTTTGGAAATACTGAATTAGATATATTTCTGAAATAATTTGCAATCTGACAAATTTTATCAATTAAACATTAAAACAATATGAATTATATTGTGAAAATAGCAAACAAACTTAATAATATCAAATTTAGTGATTTTTTTTGTTTTAGAAATGTAAAAAAAAAAATGATGGAAAGAAGCTTTCTTCGTAAAAAAGTTCCATATTTTTTTTCTCTTAAAACTTTTCAACTTTGAGAAGGGCAGGAAACTCTCGGAAACATGAATTGGAGATTTGAATTTTTACCGTTTTAACAGTGTCGACGTAAGCCTTTGATGCTGTTTCCGGTGACCAAATAAGTTTCATGTTCTTCTTCTTCTTCTTCCTCTTATTCTTATTTCTTTTTTTGTGTTAAAAGTTCTAACTTGTTCGATGGGTAATGTAAAGTGTAGCGTAAAACCTACAAACAATGTCTGCTTTATAAGAAAAGTCTTGTTCGGATATTTTTCTCCGCGTAACAGTCAGACAATGCCCCTTATACTCCTCGTTTTATTTTGTTATTGCCCATAAATTCTTGAAATAACCAGTAAGACCCATTAGTTTTTTTTGTTCTCCAGTAATCCTAAATCAAAATATATACTAAAACTTACTAGAGTAAGTATTTAGTGATTAGATCACCATTTTTCAAGGCAAAATGTAATTCCGCAATTTTTTGCGAATCATATATTCAATTGAGTTTTAATATTTTCATGTTTAACTCTTTATGTTAATGTAGATAGTTAGATAGTAGGAACATAACAATTTGAAGTACAAATGCAAAGTGTCATTAGTAGTACCATTTTTTGAAAAAAACTCTATTCAGCTAAAAATATATATACACTATTATGTTGCTTTTTTTTTTTGGACAAATACACTCACTATTCAGTTGCTTGACTATTCAATTATATAGCCGATATATTTTAAAAACTAATGTTTTTCCAAGTAAATGTCCAAAATCAAAGTGTCTAATCTCTAAAATTTACAGTTGTCAGTCAAATTGCAACAATAATAATAAAGAAAACAATGTCAACCCATATCGACCTTGGTCTGTATAACTAACAGAAAAGGACTTTGTCTATCCTGTATTTAAATGCAGTTGTGACTTCTGAGTATCGTGTAGTAACATCCAAAAACCTGACATGGCATGGAAGATAATATATGGGTTGAATCTGTAAAACATCATGAAACGTGGGGTCTATAATTAATTTATACTCAATATGATTTATTCTCTGCTTCTTTTTCTTGAAAGATAGGTTGCGTTGTTAGATGGTTGACATAAAACATTTTGTCCAGGAGAATCCGACGTGTGGTTTTAGATTTGGAGTAAAACGAAGTTAGTCTAATTTATTTCTAATTAGAAATCTGAGCCGACTTAAAATTATAATAACATAAATTATTTGAAATTTTCCTTTGCTTTGGCATAATAGATACTAACTAGCCCCAATTGAATTGACTCGGTACTATGTATATTACTATTTCTAAAATATATTCCATGTATTATGCAGGTTGGTAGTTTATAAAATATCATTTTCCATAACAAGATTTATTTTTATATGATAAGGTGTTAGTTAAGTGGATTAAGTTAATGATAGATTTCCACCACCCACGTCCTTTGTTAAACCATGAATCAGACTGATTCTTCCGTCGCTGGTTTTGGATTTGGTCGGCAACTCGTTTTGGACATTTAATTTGCCAAAGAATCAATAAAATTGATCCCATTCATACACAAGTTTTTTTTTTTTTTTTTGAACTGAGGCTTCCCATTCATACACAAGTTACAAACCGGTTAGGTCAGCATCAATTATATAGCTGTGAGTTCTTGCCTTCACAACATAGATTTAAGTTTCATTCGAAAGAAATAAAATTGGTTAGGTCAGAATCACATATTGGAATACAACAGCTTCCTGTCGTTACATACATTATCAATCATCGGTTAACGAATTTAATTGAAAATAACGTTAACAACAGGTTTAAGATTTAAATTCTACTAATATAAATTTCTGAACGAAGTAGAGAATATCTTACAGAATAAGAGAAATAGAAGCAACGTGGTGTATATATAGTATTATGATTACAAACACACAAATATGAACGAGAAACAGCACTGGTTTTACTTGGTCGTACTGTACGTTGAATGTTGATGTAAAATTTTATATGGTTTTTGTTTGGTGGATGTTTTCATTCTGATAATTTGTAATGTAAATACGAGTACAACCACAGGATACTTTTGTTAGTTCTTCAGATTGCTTCTCGGATTGTTGGCTAAAACATATGTTTTTCCTTTCTTATATTTTTGTTAACTTGTTAATATCATTAAAATGAAAGAAGATATACAAAAATTAATCTAAAGAGTAAGAGGACCCACAACAAGGAGTCTTTAGGGGGAATCCTTAGAGAAATATTAATTTTATAATCAGTGGATCTCATGAACATTTAAGGATTCTATACTTAAAAACCTTATTTAAGGATTGATCCTTACACTATTCGCGGGCTCCACTGCCCACGTGGCGGTCCGCGAATGGTCAGTTTTTTTTTCTTAAAAGAAAAAATCTGAAATATCCTTGTATAATCCGAAATACCCATTTTCTTTTTCCATAAGAATTCTCCCTAAGCACCCCTTGTTGTGGGTGCTCTAACACCCTTACAAAAAACATTAAAAGACAAGGTGGTAATAAGAGTTTGAGATTATGTCAAAATCATCCAATCCAAGATCCCTAAACAGTTTTCTATCTTTCCTTGCATAGATTGAGTTTTTTTTTTAATCTCACGTTCAATGTTCCAGAAGAATGATGTGGTGGTGTGAGCGAAGTCTTATTGTAAATAACATTGTTGTGCTGCTTTCAAATTGAGGAAAAGACCGCAGGTCTGACCAGCTTACGAATTAGAGTGCGTCTCTTACTCTCTACTGTACTAACAGTGGTGAAAGTTGTGACATTGGTTACTTGAGAACCTCTTATCCACACTAGTAGCTAAAACCAAGTGATGAACAAACTGCACACGGTCCTTTAGACGAATGAAGACCAATCTCCATTTGTAAGAAAGAGGTGGTCCCTTGTTTTTGAATCCCGATAACAGAGGAACAAGACATCAAAATTTGCATCCGCACGCAGCTAACCTCGCCCTTGTCGGAAGCTGTTACTGTACACATAGTGAACGAATGCGTAGGGACTGACCCTTTTGAACCATACCACATCCACCAATCCTTAACATCCTCCCTAAGTCTCAAAGCTTCCCAAGTAAGAGATGAAGAGTAGTTGCTGCTACAAGTTTCGTTCACACTTCAGACAAAAGAATCGTTCTCATCAACAAGGGGCAAAGTAATGGTAGATAGGTGTACCTGGAATATGATCTATTATGTTATCCTCTGTGGTCGAATGATCCAGCCATTTGCGTTGACTGTGGAAGCAATTGAAGGGTTGAGTGGGATACCAAGACTTCGAGGTCCAATACACTGAAGTATCTGTCCAAGCGTCAAACCAGAACTTAATTATTTCCCTCTTTCACATATATGAAGTGCAAAAAGTTGCTTCCATGCCCAAGAATCAGAAGTATCTGGTTGACTACCCACAAGGATTGACTGTTTGAGAAACGAAGCTAGATAAATCTCATGCATAAGACTTTATTCCAGACCTAGAAGCTTCTTAACCCAAGTCCACCTTTCTTTTTGGGAAGACAAACTGTTTTCCATGCTACGTTTGCTATTTCCGTACCACAAGAATATTGGAGAGAAGGGACTCAATCTTGCATATGTAACCCTCAGGGAGGTCCATAAGTTGAATGTACCTGCTATGACTGATTTCAGAAACTGAGGCGGCCAACAAAAGATAGAGTTTTCACAGCCCAC